TGTGAACTAAGCAAGCGGTAAATCGATAATTGCACGAAAGGCACTGAAATGCGTAATAAACTCCAACAAGTAAACTCGCAGACTTCTGCAACAACTTGCTGAAAATACAAGAAGGTAAAAAGCAAGGCAGAAAGCTGCCAAATGATATTCTAGGAACCAAACATGAACCAAAACCAAACACTGGAACGGATAACACTGCAAACAGTCATAGGCAAACAAAAAGGCAACAGTCCTGCAGACACAGAAGGAAAATCAGAGACAAAAAATATACAGGTTATAGTTACTTTAAAACTGAGGGAAAGATAACAGCATAGCTAGAAATTGCTGTTATAACCAAGACAACCTGAACAGCCCCCCTGAACCTAAGGCTGAGCCTGAGGTTGGAAGGGTAAGACCTGCACCTCACAGAACTCCTACCGCCACCACCCTTGAACGCTACAAAGGGCATTAGCCTCCAGAAGGATACGACTCATCGAAAAGCTCCTGGCAAAACAAGTATGTTTCATATATTATGTTTTTACTCATCTCACAGGACAAGAAGCAAACACTTGTGACAGCTATTCAGCCATTTCAGATATTTTCATGCTTATTGCCTATGCCTACATTGCAAATGCTGGTAAATACAGAAAAGCAAAACAAACTGTGAAGGGGGAAACGAGATGCCTTTTCCTGCTCAGATGAGCTCTCACCATGACCGCAACCCCCTGGCTGTTAGGAACAGAAAGGCCGGCGGTGTATGCATTTACAAGAGAATTGACAGGAAGGCTCCCCCGGCTGCTGCAACAGCGCCTCGGACATAGCCCCGCACTCCTGGGAGCGCGGAGCCTCCCCACCGCTTCCCAGGCACGGTTCCGTAGCTCCTGTCAGAAACACCCGGAAAAGGGCCAAGGACCAGGCCCTCTCCCGCTCCCCGCAGCGAGGCCGCCGCGCGAGGCGCGTTCGGAGCGGCGCGCAGAGCAGAGCAGCCGTTTAACGGCCGCGGGAGGCGCGTTCGGAGCGGCGCGCAGAGCA